TTAAATATTCTTTATTAGAATCATCGAGCACAAAAGTGAAAAATTGGATTTTACAGAAACAATGCAAATCAATATTTACATGAGATTTGTGCGTGTGTGTCTGTGTGTGTGTGTGAGTGTGTGTGTCTGTGTGTGTGTGTGAGTGTGTGTGTCTGTGTGTGTGTGTGTGTGTGTGTGTCTGTGTGTGTGTGTGAGTGTGTGTGTCTGCGTGTGTGTGTGAGTGTGTGAGTGTGTCTGTGTGTGTGTCTCTGTGTGTGTGTGTCTGTGTGTGTGTCTGTGTGTGTGTGTGAGTGTGTCTGTGTGTGAGTGAGTTTGTATGTCTCTGTGTGTGTCTCTGTGTGTGTGTGTCTGTGTGTGTGTGTGTGTGTGTGTGTCTGTGTGTGTGTGTGAGTGTGTGTGTCTGTGTGTGAGTGAGTTTGTATGGCTCTGTGTGTGTCTGTGTGTGTGTGTGAGTGTGTGTGTCTGTGTGTGTCTGTGTGTGTGTGTTTGTCTGTGTGTGTGTCTGTGTGTGTCTGTCTGTGTGTGTGTCTGTGCGTGAGTGAGTTTGTCTGTCTCTGTGTGTGTCTGTGTGTGTGTGTGTGTGAGTTTGTATGTCTCTGTGTGTGTGTGTGTGTGTGTGTGTGTGTGTGTGTGAGTGAGTTTGTATGTCTCTGTGTGTGTGTGTGTGTGAGTGAGTTTGTATGTCTCTGTGTGTGTGTGTGTGTGTGTGTCTGTGTGTGTGTGTGAGTTTGTATGTCTCTGTGTGTGTGTGTGTGTGAGTGAGTTTGTATGTCTCTGTGTGTGTGTGTGTGTGTGTGTCTGTGTGTGTGTGTGAGTTTGTATGTCTCTGTGTGTGTGTGTGTGTGAGTGAGTTTGTATGTCTCTGTGTGTGTCTCTGTGTGTGTGTGTCTGTGTGTGTGTGTGAGTGTGTGTCTGTGTGTGTGTGTGAGTGTGTCTGTGTGTGAGTGAGTTTGTATGTCTCTGTGTGTGTCTCTGTGTGTGTGTGTCTGTGTGTGTGTGTGTGTGTGTGTGTCTGTGTGTGTGTGTGAGTGTGTGAGTGTGTGTGTCTGTGTGTGAGTGAGTTTGTATGGCTCTGTGTGTGTCTGTGTGTGTGTGTGAGTGTGTGTGTCTGTGTGTGTCTGTGTGTGTGTGTTTGTCTGTGTGTGTGTCTGTGTGTGTCTGTCTGTGTGTGTGTCTGTGCGTGAGTGAGTTTGTATGTCTCTGTGTGTGTCTGTGTGTGTGTGTGTGAGTGTGTATGTCTCTGTGTGTGTGTGTGTGTGTGTGTGAGTGAGTTTGTATGTCTCTGTGTGTGTGTGTGTGTGTGTGTGTCTGTGTGTGAGTGAGTTTGTATGTCTGTGTGTGTGTGTGTGTGTGTGTGTGTGTTGTGTGTGTGTGTGTGTGTGTGTGTGTGTGTGTGTGTGTGTGTCTGTGTGTGTGTGTGTGTGTGTGTGTGTGTGTGTGTGTGTGTGTGTGTGTGTGTGTGTGTGTGTGTGTGTGTGTGTGTGTGTGTGTGTGTGTGTGTGTGTGTGTGTGTGTGTGTTTGTGTGTGTGTGTGCATACATCTGTACATGTTAGCATCACAAGGGTCTGGGCTAAAGTAAGTAAAGTGACAGTGACGCATGTGGTTCTGTTTTGCACATTCTGACATTAATCAAATTATTGCACAGATGCACGACATGTGAGGTCAGGTTGGGAGTGTTTCGTTAGTCGTCCTTGTTCGTTGTACAGCCTGACAGCAGCAGGAAGTAAAGACCTGCGTAACTCTCCTTCACACATTAAAAGTCATGTTTACTTTTGATTCTTACATATTGCGTTCACCGTTCAGTGTTTGTTGGAATATAGATGGCGTGGCTGTTTTCTGGTTAGCATTAGCTTTGGCACTTCACTTCAATGTCCACTAGAGGGCCACACCTCGGTCGCATGTTTGAAACCCCTGGACTTCTACAGTGTGTCCTTTCTGCCTTATTCTGCCTGTGCTGATGTTTGCTAAGTGTAAGCAATTGTTTTGAGTGGCTTTGACTAAAATGCATTTGTCTTCAGGCTGATTGTAAGTGCTATTGATGAGAAGGATCAATTTCAAATGCACATGGAGCAGGATCGTGGACCAGGGCAGTCTGACCTGGAGCCAAAGCATTCACTTTTAAGGATAATATATGGTGCGACTAAGAACTCTGCTCAGCCCAAGTCAATACAACTCACGTGAGGAACAGCTGCAGGAACTGGCGACAAGGGAAAGGTTAGAAAGAAGGGGCAGGGACAAGAATGAGGCAGTGAAACAGACCTGTGTCCTGATGAATTCTCCATTTCTCCATGGAAACAAGTGTGAGGATAGTCTTCCTCCTGGACAAGAACAAGTCGGGTTTGTGGTTCGTCTCAAAGCATCCTAAAAACAACCAACACTGACGATTGTTCCTGTCCTTTTTAGCTTGTTTTACTGATGTGCTTCTGTGGGGCACTCTGGGCGACCCTGTGCACGTGAAGATAGATAGATAGATACTTTATTGAGTATTATACTCAATAAAGTACTAATATTAATATAGTACTAATACTTTATTTATTATTAGTGTGTTCCAATGTGGTTTTATTCTTAATCTTAACTTGGCCGCAAATAGCTAATAAAGTAAATCTAAATCACTTGTTGTCATAGCAACACCCTGGCAACCATCACTATAATGTTTTACTTATTAATTTATTAATTTATTTTTCAAACATACAAAGCTGGCAGACTGTTACTTTTACCTCTGTGAAGCACTTCAGAAACGTGTTTTATAAAACGAGCTATATGAGTAAAGTGGAATGGATGACTATGGCAAGTGTTACCACGGCAACTATCACTATGGAAACAATCAACTGTTACCATGACAACTGACAGTCAGGAAATTTTGTTCTAAAACGAATTTCTTGAAACTTTGTTTGTTTAGAGTTTCCATAGTGATGATTGCCAGGGCAGTTGCCATCGTGATTGCTATGGTAACCGTTACTTTGGCAATCACTATGGCAACTGTTACCAGGGTACCTATCACTATGGCACCTGTTACCCTGGCAATCATCACTATGGATAGTGTTGCTATGGCAATCACTATGGCAACTGTTACCGGGGTAACTATCACTATGGTAACTGTTACCCTGGCAGCCATCACTATGGATAGTGTTGCTATAGCCATCACTATGGTAACTGTTACCCTGGCAACCATTACTACGAATAGTGCTTCTATGCCAATCACTATGGCAACTGTTTCCTTGCCCCATTGGTAGATCTTGTTTTAAGGCAGTCAAAATGAGCCCAGATAAAGATACATTCAGCTTTCTTTAGCTGTCATAACTTTCTGCAGTTCTGTTAGTAGCTCAGTAGCTGTTGGAGTGTCTTGCCCCAGGATCTGACCAGAGCTAAACACACAGACTTTATTCTGTACAATCAAAAATGTTCAGAAATGAAATGATGTTTGACTTGGTTGAGTTCCCAGGAGCTCTTGTTTCATTGTCCTTCGCTCACAGCTGCGTCTCCAGATGTTGCTGCCTCAGCGTTTTACACTTTTGGGGAAACGCTCTTGTGCATAAATGTGATTGTATTTTTTTGTGGCTTCATGGAGGACTTTTATTTCCAGTTTAAAGAACAGCAGTCGAATGAACCGTAATTTTAATGAACTTTTTAATAAGCTTTTCCAACATAGGCTTTATGTCACGCTGCACTGGAAAAGGGCAATGTTATTGATGGAGCAATTTTATTATTTTAATTTGTTCACAAATGTATTCATAAAATATAAAAAGCAAATTAAAGCAGTTAATTATTTCCCTGATCTACCATCATGAGCAGTAATCCTACATTTAATAATGGCTAAATGGTAATGGATTTTACAATTGTCTGTACTTTTATACTAAATCATAGACTCTTATGGTGCTTTCAGACCGGATCATATTGCGTCGGGTTTTAATGCAAAGTCTATGGTGACTCGCGCCCACAGGAGATGGATTCTGCTCATCCTTTCCTTGGGACGTTCGTGCGACAACCAATCAGAGAGCAGCAAAGTGGTCACGGGGACATTAGCGGACTGAGCGAGCAGACTGAAAATACTGTAAACAGCCAAAACAGGACCCACACCAGACTTCACCAGAACTCACACCAGGGCTGACAATGGGGGACTCTGTGCTTGTGAAAATATGTGTTGTCATGCTCCTGTGACCTTATGCAACTGCTTCGAGTGTGTTCGCCGATGCGGAAATTCCGTTTAATAATATGAATAAACGTATGGCGCACCTCCGTGAACACATACTGCTGTTATATAAAGTCACCTCCGTGAACACATACTGCTGTTATATAAAGTCACCTCGTGAACACATACTACTGTTATATAAAGTCACCGTGAACACATACTGCTGTTATATAAAGTCACCTCGTGAACACATACTACTGTTATATAAAGTCACCGTGAACACATACTGCTGTTATATAAAGTCACCTCCGTGAACACATACTACTGTTATATAAAGTCACCTCCGTGAACACATACTGCTGTTATATAAAGTCACCTCCGTGAACACATACTGCTGTTATATAAAGTCACCTCCGTGAACACATACTGCTGTTATATAAAGTCACCTCCGTGAACACATACTGCTGTTATATAAAGTCACCTCCGTGAACACATACTGCTGTTATATAAAGTCACCTCCGTGAACACATACTGCTGTTATATAAAGTCACCTCCGTGAACACACACTACTGTTATATAAAGTCACCTCCGTGAACACATACTGCTGTTATATAAAGTCACCTCCGTGAACACATACTGCTGTTATATAAAGTCACCTCCGTGAACACATACTACTGTTATATAAAGTCACCTCCGTGAACACATACTGCTGTTATATAAAGTCACCTCCGTGAACACACACTACTGTTATATAAAGTCACCTCCGTGAACACATACTGCTGTTATATAAACCCCGTGGAAAGTCTCTGTTCAAAGACACGCTGCAAAGCTGCATATTGGAGAAGATCTGTACACAAGAAGCCGATAGAATAGCTCTGGTAGCATTAGAGCCGGCCGGCTACTTGGGCGGCACGGTGACTGAGTGGATAGCACTCTCGCCTCTCAGCAAGAAGGTCCTGGGTTCGAATCCCGGCCGGACCAGGGCCTTTCTGAGTGGAGTTCGCATGTTCTCCCCGTGTCTGCGTAGGTTTCCTCCGGGTACTCCGGTTTCCCCTACCACTAAAAATATGTCCAATAGTTCTGGCATGTGCCTCCTGTACTGGCCCCGCTCCCATCTCTGTGTGGAGTGAGAGACAAATGCCCTAAAATAACAATTGTAAACCGCTTTGAGACTCTGGTCTGTGAAAGGTGGTATATAAATGAGCTTACTTACTACTTCCGGTGCTTCCGGGTCGCGTCAGGACGTTCTGGTGTGAAGTCCTCTGCGTCGGAAAACTAGAGAATGCGCGTCCGGTGAGTGGGGCTTCAGCGTTTCAGCGTTGGCGGTCTGAGAGCACCATTAGTATCTTCCCATCTCCGCCCTGGTACACAGCTGCTCTTTGCTGACAGCCTTTATCAATGCATCTAACTTTGATACATGACAACATGGTTTTGAGACCTACATCACGACTCCCACTGATGTCTGCTGTCGTTGCTGCTCACTTAACCCCACTTTGCCTGAAGCCGCCACTGAAAGATCTCAGCTCCTGTGGACTCAGCACCTGCAGGAGGATCAGTGAGGGACTGGTGCTCTGTGGCCTGGGTGTAGCTCTGAATGCAACCCCTCGACCCAGAAATGGATTAAGGGGAAGAAGATGGATGAATGAATGAACATTGTTTGGTGGCATTGAACAGACATTTTGGCACACATGAAAAACAAATCCACTTCACTGATAAGGCTGGCTTTAAAGACCACCTTTAAAAGCGCTACCACAGGGCCTTTATCCCCACCACAGTCAGACTGTACAATAAGTCACTTTAAGTCACTTGCATTAGGAGTGAAAAACCTGCACTGCTATTGACACTGTTTCTGAATGCCACTTTTTATTGTACATAATTGAAGAAAATGGCAAAGTCTGGGATCATGTCTTTAATTCAGACAGAAGACATGTTTTATTGTCGATGGTGGAGACAGCACAAACAAAGATAATAATAATGCATCGGTTTTTGCGCTTTTTTGGACACTCACAGACGCTTCACATGTCATTATTCATTCACTCCAAACACGGTGGTGATAAACTACTACTGTAGCCACAGCTGCCCTGGGGCACACTGACAGAAGCGAGGCAACCAGTCTGTGCTATCAGCCCCTCCCACCACCACCAACCATTCACACACACACCAGACTCATTCTAGGCAATGGGGGTGAAGTGTCTTGCCTAAGGACACAACGGCAGTTTGGCACTTTACAGCCGCAGCCGCCCCACTGTGGCTGGTGTTCCCAGAGGTTAAGTGTCTTGCCCAAGGACACAACGACAGTAGTCAGTGGGAGTCGATGGTGAAAGTCTTGAGCGGGGCTTCTGGCTCAAAGGCCAAGACTCTACCAACTGAGCTACTGCCGCCCTAAGATGTTACAGACAGATACAGCGGAGGAATGAACCCCGTCCAATCAGCTTTCGCCGCGATGCCAGTAGCTTGGCCTTCAAAAATCGAAACATGCAGTGGAAAAGTACTGCCTTCTGCATATGTTAGAATGAGTTAGAACTTTAACCACAGTTCCTTCAAAGTGTCATGAAATCTCAAAGTAATATATCCTGCATTTAACATGTTGCACATTTCTTTTCTTTGCACAATCTTGCGTGATTCTATCTGTGCCAGATGTGACATGTACATTTCCCCGTCAGAGATTAATAAAGTCTATCTTATCTTATCTTAAAACTTGTTTTGTAACTTTAATATATATTTACTAGTAAACTGACATTTTTCTTTCTTTGAGAAGCTGGAAGTAATACCACATTTAACACTGATAATTCTTTAATCTATTCTGTGTAGTTGTCTAAAACACAACACTTAAACCGTGCTATCTTCTGGGACCAGTTAATGAGGCCGATTGGGTGATAGCTGCCTCAAATTATTCTGCCTTAACTCCCAAACTCTCTCGACACTGAAACTTTTTCCCTTCTAAGTTTGACCTGTTATAATCGTGAGAGTTTGAGGTTCTGTCCCTGCGGTTATAAGAGCAGCTTCACACAGACGGCGCCCCCTAGAGGACAGACACTATGGTACAAAGTGACCTGTAAAGTTTTCTCAGTCCTGGACATGTCGCGTCTGTCGAGGGACTCAGCTCCAGTGAAGTTTCTGCTGTTTGAGTTTTATCAAGAATTTAGTCCTTCAGCTCTGTCATAGGGACTTTAAACACTGAAACCCAGAGAGCAGTCAATTTGCAAGAGCGGCATGGTGGCTGAGTGGATAGCACTCTCGACTCTCAGCAAGAAGGTCCTGGGTTTGAATCCCGGTCGGAACAGCGTCTTTCTGTGTGGAGTTTGCATGTTCTCCCTGTACTTGCGTATGTTTCCTCTGAGCGCTCCGGTTTCCCCTATCACTAAAAACATGCTCACTAGGTAAAATCCTCCAGCTCTGGTCCTGACCAAGCCGAGCATCAACATCTGGAGATGGTTCCCGGGCGCTGTTACTGCTCCGACCACCATATTTACCTGTCTTGGTTTTACAAAATGTGTGACTTTTTTCTCTATATCTGTATGTAGTTTACTTCTATGTCAGTATGTTTTATGGAATGATCTTTCATATTTTGTATCCGTTGCTAGGTGACCAATCCAATCTGCTTAATCTATATAGCACATTTTATAAAACAAGTTTCCTGCACACCGGATTGGTTAAATGAAGCCACGCACAACAATAAGTAGTCATGCATAATACACTTAGATATGGTACCCGTTCTAGCTAGACCCCAGCAGGTGGACTGCATCAGTAACCAGTGCTTAGGAGCTACATGTGTCACAGGCGGTAAGAATCTGGCATCAAAAGTGTGATTGTGAGGACAGTTTAACCACTGACAGTGCGTTAAACATAAAGTCGCCTTAAAACAACGAATACAGTATAAGAACAAAAGAGAAAACAATTAGAATCTTAAACAAAACAAAAAAACAGAGTTGGCAAATGGGTTAAACACACCTATCCAGGAAGAACATTCATGTTCACTGACAATCACTGGAATGTCACTGAGCATTACCAAAAAGAACAAACCAGTTTATACCAGTTTATAATAACTGCTGGGATTTTTGCTTTTGTCTCTAAAAAGCATTGGTTTGATTTGCAGCCAAGGCACCATCAGCTAAAAACATCTATAGAGCCTGATTAGAACAAGACTCTGAATATGTTTCAAGAAGATGTACCAATGGAAATTTTGCAAAACATGTACAGCAGGTCACATTTTTTCAGGAAAAACTTCCTGGTTGCCACGCCTTCAGACACATAACAGAGAAACAGAAAGTATTCACTCACTCTGAACACTGCTGTCTGGCCTCACAGAGCTCTGATAATCCGGGACTTGAGTTCCAAATGGCCGAGGCCCTGTTTGAAGACTTCCTGACCTGCCCCATCTGCTTGGACCCTCTGAAGGAGCCGGTGAGTCTGGGCTGTCACCACAGTTTCTGCCGCGTCTGCCTCAACAACAGCTGGGCTTCGAACCCATCCAAGACCTGCCCCATCTGCCGCCGCAGGTCGTCCAAAGAAACACTGGAGGTGAACTTTGCTCTTAGAGAGCTGTCCCTGTCCTTCAATGAACAAAAGGATAAAGAGCCAAATGTTGCAGAAAAGGCAAAGACTCTGAAGGACAAACAACAGAGCTACAAAGAACTGGAGAAGAACTACGTAGAGCTGCAGTGTCATCAGAACGAGCAGTCGGTGGAGTGTGTGAGTCAGATCTCAAAAGTCTTCTCTCGTCTGCAGAAGATCCTGAAAGAGGAGGAGGAAAAGGCATTAATGGCCTTAGGAGAAGAGCAAAGCCAACAAGCTCAACGCCTTGAGTTAGAGCTGCTGCAGGTGAGAAGTCAGGTCACTGCATTGACCAACATCATCCAGGAGCTGCAGAAAAACAATAACTCTCAAAGCTTCAAGCAGGAGCTTGCTCTGGCCCTCTCACTGCCCCATCCCCATCCTCAAGAGAATCTGCTCCTGAACCAGGCCAAAGTCGTGGGAAACCTGGGCTATAGTGTGCTGAAAAAGATGCAGAAAGAGGTGAGCTTCAGTCCTGTCATTCTGGACCCCAACACTGCAGAGTGCACCATGCATCTGTCCCAGGACCTGTGTGCGGTGAGGCCCGGCCCCCAACGACCAGTACCTGTGGTCCCAGAGAGGTTCACCAACGAGGCCATAGTCCTCGGCTCACAGGGCTTCAGCTCTGGGCAGCACCAGTGGGACGTGGAGGTGGGCGATCTGCCAACGTGGGACATCGGAGTGGTCAAGAAGTCTATCGACAGAAGGGGACAGATTTATGCAGACTTTGATTATGGAGTCTGGTGTTTATGGCATGGAGAGGGAGAGTATAAAAACATCTGTGGTCAGACAATCCCACTGAAATCAGCTCCAAAGAAGATCCGAGTGAAACTGGACTACGAGAAGGGAGAGGTGGCCTTCTATGACGCTCACACTATGGACCTTCTGCTGATCCTCAAAGCAACGTTCACAGAGACACTGTTTCCTTATGTGTCTGTGGGGCCTGCAGCTGGAGCCAAGACCAAAGAGATCAGAGTCCAGTCCTGTTACGGCCACAGCCTGTAGAAACAAGACTTTTTGAGGGTGAGGAATGGCAATAGACTTGCTAAAAGGTTTCCATGCCATTCATGAGTTCAGAAGCTACCCATCAACTGTCCCTGGATCGGGCAGATCTTTTCACCAAATACGATATTTCCCAAAACTTGAACCTTGCCCAGATTGACAGCCCATCTGCTCTCAAAAATGGATAAGAATATCCCCAAAAACTTAGAAACTTATTTTAGGCAAAGCAAAATTATTTGTACAGAGTATCTCACATTTTGAGTAAGACTGTTCCAGATTTTAGCTGCATAAATCTGAATCCTGACTCTGGGCAGCGATCCCTGTGCAATTGTAGAAGATGATTTTTGGAAAAAAGGAACGCTCAAAGTTCAGAGATGTATAATTCAAATAAGAAGCATAAAGGTATCTCATCTTCATTTTCTGCAGGAAAACAAATATTACAATAAATGAATATTTGCTGTACAAACAAATATAACTATATGCATGTAAACTTTTACCTGTAAAAATAAATAAAGAAATGTGATTTACCATTATTTGATTCTTCTGATTCAGGAAAATCGTTTATTGAGCTTAATGTTCTTATAAATAACATGAATATATAGAATGTGTCAATAATCAGTGCTCAGGAGCTACATCTGTCACAGGCAGAAAGAATCTGGCAACAAGGGCAAGATGGTAAAGACTTTTTAACCTCTAAGAGTGCATTATACATACAGTCCCTTTAAACAAATCATGAATGTGGGAAATGAGAAAGGGAGGAGAATATGGGGACATAAAGAACAAAAGAAAACACATAAACAGAGAGAGTGAACTGATTACTCAAACTTATCCAGGAAGAACATTAGGTTCCCTGACAATCCTCTTTATCACATGCTTGAGCATCGACGTCACCGAGAGAACAAACCAGTTTCTCCACATTTGTTGCATCAGCGGATAATAACTGCTGTAATGGTTTACTATATCATTAGTCTGATTTGCAGCCAATGCACAGTCTGCTGAAAACATCTATAGAGCCTGATCAGAACAAGATACTGTGTATGTTAGAAAATATGAATCAATGGAAATTTTGCAAAACATGTACAGCAGGTCACATTTTTTCAGGAAGAACATCCCAGTTGCCACGCCTTCAGACACATAACAGAGGAACAGAAAGTATTCACTCACTCTGAACACTGCTGTCTGGCCTCACAGAGCTCTGATAATCCGGGACTTGAGTTCCAAATGGCCGAGGCCCTGTTTGAAGACTTCCTGACCTGCCCCATCTGCATGGACCCTCTGAAGGAGCCGGTGAGTCTGGGCTGTCACCACAGTTTCTGCCGCGTCTGCCTCAACAACAGCTGGGCTTCGAACCCATCCAAGACCTGCCCCATCTGCCGCCGCAGGTCGTCCAAAAAACAACCAGACGTGAACTTTGCTCTTAGAGAGCTGTCCCTGTCCTTCAATGAGCAAAAGGATAAAGAGCCAAATGTTGCAGAAAAGGCAATGGTTGAAAAGTTCTGCGTCTCTCACCCGGACGTCCCTCCTCTGTTCTGTGTGGACGAGGACCGAGCGCTTTGTCCAGTGTGTGAGTTCTCTCTGCACTCCCAGCACACGGTGGTGAGCGGAGAAGTGTTGCTCCAACAAAAGCATGTCCAGACTCTGAAGGATAAACAACAGAGCTACGAAGAACTGGAGAAGACCTATGTAGAGCTGCAGCGTCACCAGAACGAGCAGTCGGTGGAGTGTGTGAGTCAGATCTCAAAAGTATTCTCTCGTCTGCAGAAGATCCTGAAAGAGGAGGAGGAAAAGGCTTTAAGGTCCTTAGAAGAAGAGCAAAGCCAACAAGCTCAACGCCTTGAGTTAGAGCTGCTGCAGGTGAGAAGTCAGGTCACTGCATTGACCAACATCATCCAGGAGCTGCAGAAAAACAATGACTCTCAAAGCTTCAAGCAGGAGCTTGCTCTGGCCCTCTCACTGCCCCATCCCCATCCTCAAGAGAATCTGCTCCTGAACCAGGCCAAAGTCGTGGGAAACCTGGGCTATAGTGTGCTGAAAAAGATGCAGAAAGAGGTGAGCTTCAGTCCTGTCATTCTGGACCCCAACACTGCAGAGTGCACCATGCATCTGTCCCAGGACCTGTGTGCGGTGAGGCCCGGACCCCAACGACCAGTACCTGTGGTCCCAGAGAGGTTCACCAACGAGGCCATAGTCCTCGGCTCACAGGGCTTCAGCTCTGGGCAGCACCAGTGGGACGTGGAGGTGGGCGACCTGCCAACGTGGGACATCGGAGTGGTCAAGAAGTCTATCGACAGAAGGGGACAGGTTTATACAGGTAGTCGTTATGGAATCTGGTGTTTATGGCATGGAGAGGGAGAGTATAGAAACGGCTCTGGTCAGACAATCCCACTGAAATCAGCTCCAAAGAAGATCCGAGTGAAACTGGACTACGAGAAGGGAGAGGTGGCCTTCTATGACGCTCACACTATGGACCTTCTGCTGATCCTCAAAGCAACGTTCACAGAGACACTGTTTCCTTATGTGTCTGTGGGGCCTGCAGCTGGAGCCAAGACCAAAGAGATCAGAGTCCAGTCCTGTCACGGTCGCCACAGGTCTGGTCACCACTCTGCAGCAACCAGACTCTGAAGAGGTACCTCCCTCAGTATCGAGAGACCACTGCAAAAAGTTATGAAAAGTCACAAATTGCTCAAATTTGGCAAAATGTATCTTAATTTAGGCACATTTTGACTGCTGGTAGAACAAAATTTTCCAATGGGACAAAGCAAAAGTATCTTGTTTGAAAAAGATATATGAGAAATGAGAAAAGCTTCAGTTCTTGAAATAAGACTAAATGGCTTTGTCCCATTGGCAAATCCTGTTTTAAGACAGTCAGATCCCAAATTAAGATAATAATCTATTCTGAGTGAAGCAATTACCAGCTTGTATTTGATCATTTATTGCAGTTAACTGTAAAGTCAGACTCAATATTTCTCAAATAATCTCGTGATTAAGCAAATTTTATGATTAACATTGATTCATTTCCTATACATGTTTTGTTTTTTTATGGTTTTATAATGATGTGTAAATATTCCAAGTAAATTCCAATCAAATCACAATATCTCCAGCATAACACAAGCCTACCAATGCAAGACTTAAAAACAACCCTTTTTTACACGCTCAGAGTCGGTATATCATCTCCAGGATATGATAATTTTTCTTTTGGCCCCATTATCCAAAATACATGAATATTAACAATTAAACATGTACTGTATCTGTAAAATAAAAAAGTGATTTGCTATTATCTGGTGTTTGATTCGTGCATTTATTTATTTAAAATAGTTATATAGAAAATGACCATAGAATGTGTCAACTGCTCAAAAAAGCCAATTTGCATAAAACAAAACCATTAAATGCAGTAGAGGTTCACGGTCAGGCCACATATTTGTTAAAAGCAATATTATACACGCCTTCATCTTCCATTTTTTATATCACTGAGCCTTACTTATTTAAAGGGATTATTTCTGCACTCTGGGCTAACTTTGCCTCCAAGAAATGTTTAAACAACTGTAAAAACATCAGATTTATGCTTGTACCGACAACGACACGAGCTGCAGCGAGCCATGAAGCCACAGCCAACCAACCAGAAAGAGACGCAACTTGTTCAACTCACCAGACTTGATTTTTACTGCGAGGATGACGTCAGGACAGACATAAAGCAGAGGTAAAAAGGACACAAGACAAGGTTGAGTGGAAGAAATGCACCGAGCAATCAAGGTAAAGTCACTTAACACTGAATAAATACATGAAAGAAATCTAATACCTATGTTTAAAAGCAACAGCAATGCAGAAGTTATTATGTGAGGCCAAACATCCAAGGAATAACATGGAGGGGCAGCAAAGAAAGGCATGGATCAGTTTTGCCCAAAAGAACAAACTCAAAAGTATAGGGACAATGAAAAAATAAAAATGCCTGGTCTATTTTATCTAACAAAAGGGAGACATAACAACTAAAGAACAAGGGTGTGTCTAAACAAACTAAACTACATGATATAAAGAGAAAAGGGAACCCAGACCTCACTTAATCGTCAAACCTCTGTTCCAAGTACTGGCACGAAAGAGAGAGAAAGCCAGAAAGCAGGCCAAGACCAATCCCCGGGTTTCCAAGATGTCTGCCCCCGGGTTTCCAAGATGTCTGCCCCTGGGTTTTCAAGATGTCTGCTCCTGGGTTTTCAAGATGTCTGCCCATGGGTTTCCAAGATGTCTGCTCCTGGGTTTTCAAGATGTCTGCTCCCAGGTTTCTAAGATGTCTGCTCCCGGGTTTCCAAGATGTCTTCTCCCGGGTTTCCAAGATGTCTTCTCCCGGGGTTTCCAAGATGTCTTCTCCCGGGGTTTCCAAGATGTCTGCTCCTGGGTTTTCAAGATGTCTGCCCATGGGTTTCCAAGATGTCTGCTCCCGGGTTTCCAAGATGTCTTCTCCAGGGGTTTCCAAGATGTCTTCTCCCGGGGTTTCCAAGATGTCTGCTCCGGGGGTTTCCAAGATGTCTTCTCCCGGGGTTTCCAAGATGTCTTCTCCCGGGGTTTCCAAGATGTCTGCTCCCGGGGTTTCCAAGATGTCTTCTCCCGGGTTTCCAACATGTCTTCTCCCGGGTTTCCAAGATGTCTTCTCCTGGGTTTTCAAGATGTCTGCCCCCAGGTTTCTAAGATGTCTGCTCCCGGATTTCCAAGATGTCTACCCCGGAGTTTCCAAGATGTCTTCTCCCGGGGTTTCCAAGATGTCTGCTCCCGGGTTTCCAAGATGTCTTCTCCCGGGGTTTCCAAGATGTCTTCTCCCGGGGTTTCCAAGATGTCTTCTCCCGGGGTTTCCAAGATGTCTTCTCCCGGGTTTCCAACATGTCTTCTCCCGGGGTTTCCAAGATGTCTTCTCCCGGGTTTCCAAGATGTCTTCTCCCGGGGTTTCCAAGATGTCTTCTCCCGGGGTTTCCAAGATGTCTTCTCCCGGGTTTCCAAGATGTCTTCTCCCGGGTTTCCAAGATGTCTGGCCCTGGTTTTCCAAGATGTCTACCCCTGGTTTTCCAAGATGTCTACCCCTGGTTTTTCAAGATGTCTACTTTTTCTAATCAACGGCTTGTGCTCATTAGCTCGCACCTTAGACGTCCCAAACAACGCCTATCTCCGCCATTGAAACTAATGAGCCACCACTTTCGCCGTCTCAAAATGGCCGTGGGCCCCATTCATTTAACGAGTGCCTTCAAAAGAGGCTAAACTAGACTGGTCCAGAACACTCAGCATTGACACACATGTGGAACGGAGCTTTGGGCCAAGAGACAACTTATGGACCATCCTGTAAAGACGTTTTCCAGAGGTGGCTAATTCTTATTCCGGGTCCACCCCCATTGGCCGGGGGTGGTATTGCAGGGTATTTATATCTATATCTATTCTATATCAAGTTCTATTCACCATTTTAGTACTTATAAAATGTGAGTAAATGTAAAAACTAATTGTGTTTGTTTAGTTTGAAAGGGAGCAGTCATAATTACGCCTCTGGAAGTACAAGTAGTTCCTTCATTGTGGGAGTCCTCGTGTTAAGGACACAAGCTGCAGCCAAACCAGTCGTTAAAGTCCAAAAACAGTTTGGTTCTATTGTGTGTGTTTGTGTGTTTTGTGTGTCTGATGCCCCATGGTAGTGTATTCTTGGGTTTCATATGACGTCAGGGCAAAGGCGCGAATATAGTACAGGACGGGACGAACCCTGGCACTGCAGTCTGCTGGGTTTATACACGGAGATATAGTAGAAGAAGAAGTGGTTTATACACGGAGATATAGTAGAAGAAGAAGAGGTTTATACACGGAGATATAGTAGAAGAAGAAGTGGTTTATACACGGAGATATAGTAGAAGAAGAAGTGGTTTATACACGGAGATATAGTAGAAGAAGAAGTGGTTTATACACGGAGATATAGTAGAAGAAGAAGTGGTTTATACACGGAGATATAGTAGAAGAAGAAGTGGTTTATACACAGAGATATAGTAGAAGAAGAAGTGGTTTATACACGGAGATATAGTAGAAGAAGAAGTGGTTTATACACAGAGATATAGCAGAAGAAGAAGCGGTTTATACACAGAGATATAGCAGAAGAAGAAGCTGTTTATACACAGAGATATAGTAGAAGAAGAAGTGGTTTATACACGGAGATATAGTAGAAGAATAAGTGGTTTATACACAGAGATATAGTAGAAGAAGAAGTGGTTTATACACAGAGATATAGCAGAAGAAGAAGCTGTTTATACACAGAGATATAGTAGAAGAAGAAGCGGTTTATACACAGAGATATAGTAGAAGAAGAAGAGGTTTATACACGGAGATATAGTAGAAGAAGAAGCATCTTTTTGTGCGGTGTACGCTTGTAGCAACCGCACAAAAAGAGAGAAAGACCAGAGTTTGTTCATGTTCCAACTGTGTCTCATATAAAGGAGGACACTTTGAAAAAATCACTGGAATGAGGCGGAGGTGGATCAAGGCTTTCCCAGATAAGCGCCCCCTGCAGGCCACACCAATGAAACACAGCTATTTCTTCTGTTTTTCTTTTCAAAAATGCCCAAAATCAAGACTCTTTTGAGAAATATTTGTTAGTACTGCCTTAGAATTGAGTGTCCCCGATTAAGACTGTTCCAACAACCCTACACCGCGAAGGAGGAGAGCCTTTGTCTCCAAAACAGACTTTACATGGTTTTCAATGGGAGCAACACTGTCCCACCTCTGCTCATGCGCCCCCTACAGGCCAGTTTAATAGTATATGGCTATATTATATGTATCTATCTTATTTGTATTCTCTATGTTCTGCTCATTGGTTGCATTGTGTTCTGTGTTTATTGTGTTGAATGAGTGAGAGGTCGATGGGAAAAAAATCAGCGTCTGCTTCATCCAACCCCTTTTCAAACCTGTATTAGTGTAAAGATATGTAAAATTGTGTTATTCCGGTTTGAAATAAAATAAACTAACTATTTGTTCTCTGTGATTGAGTAAACATATGAAGCCTTTTGAGCCACTTGTTGTCACTCGCCTCCGTAGTTCAGGCCTCGCACCTTTTTTCCATTTACATGTTCAGTGTAGATTCAGTCTGAGTCGAACTCGGAGAGAAACTAGGTCCGTGCTCTGAGTCTTCATCGCCGTATTTTTGCCGGCGTTCTCCCCCTTTGTGGTTCGGTAATATGCCACAAGAGCTTGGCCTGAGAAATTATTCAAGCGCAGACTTCTGAGGACAGTTTCTAACATTCTGACAGATGCTTTGAAAAATGTGGAAATGCTTAGAAGAAGAAGAAGAAGAAAAATAAGGGTCTGAAAAACTGCCCTAAGTCATGGAGTGCGTTATGAGGTAATGTGAGAAAAGTATTTAACAGAGGTCATGCTGTGGAGAGAATTTCAGAAACTGTTAGGGTGCTTTCACACCTGCACCATTTATTCCACTTAAAGCGGATTGGAGTCTGGAACACCTGCAAGTACGGTTCGTTTGAGCAGGTGTGAAAGTGGACCAGTTAAATTTGGTCCGGACTAAAGAACCGCACCGAGACCACCATATGGAGCTGGTCTCGGTGCGGTTCCATGTGGACTCCAGTCTGGTTTGCTGCTGGTGAGAACGCAGACCGGCCTCGATGTGGCCCTGCTCTGTTGCGTAGCTCACTTTTTGACACACACATTGTTTTTTTATATGATTGATTGTTATATATATATATATATACAGTATATATATATGATTGTTCTCGTGCTGAATCCGCAATACATACTGGAACAACAGTATTTGTGCGGCACAAAGCAACAATGATGAAAAATAGCCAAAAAACGCAGAGTAGCACAGTCACATACGTCATCCAATACACAGTATTTTGTAAACAGCGCCACCACATGGGCAGAATATGTAACATCTACAGTGGTTGGTTCATTTGCAAAAACACTGGTGTGAATGAGAACCGAACTAGTTGAGAACTGCAACATTGTAACAACTTTAGGGCCCAAGCGAACCACTTTACTGGACCAACAGTTGTGAAAGCACCCTTAAAGTAAGACACTGTAGTAACCCACTGGGCCAGAGTGTGTCGAGTGTTCAAGACCAGAAATAACAAGAACTAGAGAGGTTTTTGTTCAGTCCTAAACTCCTCGCGTAAAGAACATTCTGTAAGAAACTTTGTGGGCCGAGTATAACTGTGTTCTTATACTTTATCATTTGTGTATTTAATTTTATTGTGAGTCAATGCAAGTGGGGAGCGGGTCCCATCTGAAAAAGATCCATGAGCACGTGCGCTTACAAGCTGCTATCTCACTCCTTGCGGGTGGGGGTGTACCCGGAAAGAGAATTACGCAATTCTTTTGTATGGCGTCTTCTCACCTCCAGAAAACGTCTTTACAGGATGGTCCAAAAGTGGTTCTTGGTCCAAAAGTGGTTCTTGGTCCAAAAGTGGTTCTTGGTCCAAAAGTGGCTCTTTGTCCAAAAGTGGTTCTTTGTCCAAAAGTGGTTCTTTGTCCAAAAGTGGTTCTTGGTCCAAAAGTGGTTCTTGGTCCAAAAGTGGTTCTTGGTCCAAAAGTGGTTCTTGGTCCAAAAGTGGTTCTTGGTCCAAAAGTGGCTCTTGATCCAAAAGTGGTTCTTGGTCCAAAAGTGGTTCTTGGTCCAAAAGTGGCTCTTGGTCCAAAAGTGGCTCTTGGTCCAAAAGTGGTTCTTGATCCAAAAGTGGCTCTTGATCCAAAAGTGGCTCTTGGTCCAAAAGTGGTTCTTTGTCCAAAAGTGGTTCTTGGTCCAAAAGTGGTTCTTGGTCCAAAAGTGGTTCTTGGTCCAAAAGTGGTTCTTGGTCCAAAAGTAGCTCTTGGTCCAAAAGTGGTTCTTTGTCCAAAAGTGGTTCTTGGTCCAAAAGTCGCTCTTGGTCCAAAAGTCGCTCTTGGTCCAAAAGTGGTTCAAGATTCAAGATTCAAGATTAATTTATTATGTCCCGTAGGAAATGTGTCTTGGACTCACAGCTGCTACATTGAAAATACACAGTAACACCGACATAAACCATCAGCTCTGCTCCATGGTCGTTCAGGAGGTTCACAGAAATGGGTAGGAATGAGTTCTTATACCGGTTTAGATATCGTTTCTTATTTCTAGTGGGTACTCTGTAGCGGCCTGATGGGAGGAGCTCATACTGAGAGTGGAGGACAGAAGGGTCTGAGGTGATTTTACTGGCCTGTGTAATTACAGTCTCCTCAAATATCTGCTGCAAAGATGGATGCTCCCTAACTCCCATGACTTTAAAGGCTGTGTTCTTGGTCCAAAAGTGGTTCTTGGTCCAAAAGTGGCTCTTGGTCCAAAAGTGGCTCTTGGTCCAAAAGTGGCTCTTGGTCCAAAAGTGGCTCTTGATCCAAAAGTGGTTCTTGGTCCAAAAGTGGCTCTTGGTCCAAAAGTGGCTCTTGGTCCAAAAGTGGCTCTTGGTCCAAAAGTGGCTCTTGGTCCAAAAGTGGTTCTTGGTCCAAAAGTGGCTCTTGGTCCAAAAGTGGCTCTTGGTCCAAAAGTGGTTCTTGGTCCAAAAGTGGCTCTTGATCTAAAAGCGGTTCTTGATCCAACAGTGGCTCTTGGTCCAAAAGTGGCTCTTGGTCCAAAAGTGGCTCTTGGTCCAAAAGTGGCTGTTGGTTCCAGATGCTGTCAATGCTGAGGGGAGTATACTTTTGGACCAGTCCTAGTTTGGCTGCTGTGGACTTTTGAATGGGGCTAGTGCAGCTAACACGTGCACAAATGCGTCCTGCCCCGCGGCCATTTTGAAAAGGTCTCTCTCTGGTCTCTCTCTCTGGTCTCTCTCTGGTCTCTCTCTCTGGTCTCTCTCTCTGGTCTCTCTCTCTGCTCTCTCTGGTCTCTCTGGTCTCTCTCTGGTCTCTCTCTCTGCTCTCTCTGGTCTCTCTCTGGTCTCTCTCTCTGGTCTCTCTCGGGTCTCTCTCTGGTCTCTTTCTCTCTGGTCTCTCTCTGGTCTCTCTCTGGTCTCTCTCTCTGGTCTCTCTCTCTCCCTCCGTTCTGTCTCTTCAGATATATTCAGACTCCTCCTATAATAAGACATAAGAGGGTGCTGCGAGCGAGTGATTAGGTGCTTTATCCTCCTGCGCCGTAACGTCCGCCGCCGAGGCTCCGGGACTGACATATTTCATAACTCCACTGGTTTTTCAAAGCCGAGACTTCAGCAGATTTTAATGCCGTGGCAGCAAAACAGGCCGAGGAGCTGCGGCTGCGTGTGCGCTGAGGCCTCTCCACATGAAAGATGGATTTCCAGACAGCTGCTCTTGAACTGATGTGGCAGATTAACAATATTGCATTTTGAGGTTGAGAGAGTTTGACTCGGAGCAGAGCGCGCCGTAAACCACGACTCGCGGCTTAGCGTGTGATCCTGCCGCACCCGGGACATGATTTTATTTATTTATTTGTTTCACTTGAGGACATTTCAAGTGTTCGTAGTCCTCTGACACAAATGAAAAGGAGAAAGAGGAAAAATAAGAAAATAATCAGATTCTTAAACATTTACAAATTAAAAGAAAAACATATTTAAGATGGACTTCAAACTGTAAAATTCTTCATGTCTTATTATTGTTGTTAATTTTAAGCATGTACTGCATTAAGTGAGCCTCCGTTAGGCTCTGGAACTACATTAAAACGTTAAACAGTAATTCTGAAAACCTCTCTCTGGTCTCTCTCTGGTCTCTCTCTCTGGTCTCTCTCTCTGGTCTCTCTCTGGTCTCTCTCTCTGGTCTCTCTCTCTGGTCTCTCTCTGGTCTCTCTCTGGTCTCTCTCTCTGGTCTCTCTCTCTGGTCTCTCTCTGGTCTCTCTCTGGTCTCTCTCTCTGGTCTCTCTCTCTGGTCTCTCTCTCTGGGTCTCTCTCTCTGGTCTCTCTCTGGTCTCTCTCTCTGGTCTCTCTCTGGTCTCTCTCTCTGGTCTCTCTCTCTGGTCTCTCTCTGGTCTCTCTCTGGTCTCTCTCTCTGGTCTCTCTCTCTGGTCTCTCTCTCTGGTCTCTCTCTGGTCTCTCTCTGGTCTCTCTCTCTGGTCTCTCTCTCTGGTCTCTCTCTGGTCTCTCTCTGCTCTTTCTGGTCTCTCTCTGGTCTCTCTCTCTGGTCTCTCTCTGGTCTCTCTCTCTTGTCTCTCTCTGGTCTCTCTCTGGTCTCTCTCTGGTCTCTCTCTCTGGTCTCTCTCTCTGGTCTCTCTCTGGTCTCTCTCTCTGGTCTCTCTCTCTGGTCTCTCTCTGGTCTCTCTCTCTGGTCTCTCTCTGGTCTCTCTCTCTGGTCTCTCTCTCTGGTCTCTCTCTGGTCTCTCTCTGGTCTCTCTCTCTGGTCTCTCTCTCTGGTCTCTCTCTCTGGTCTCTCTCTGGTCTCTCTCTGGTCTCTCTCTCTGGTCTCTCTCTCTGGTCTCTCTCTGGTCTCTCTCTCTCTCTCTCTGGTCTCTCTCTGGTCTCTCTCTGGTCTCTCTCTGGTCTCTCTCTCTTGTCTCTCTCTGGTCTCTCTCTGGTCTCTCTCTGGTCTCTCTCTCTGGTCTCTCTCTCTGGTCTCTCTCTGGTCTCTCTCTGGTCTCTCTCTCTGGTCTCTCTCTGGTCTCTCTCTGGTCTCTCTCTCTGGTCTCTCTCTGGTCTCTCTCTGGTCTCTCTCTGGTCTCTCTCTGGTCTCTCTCTGGTGTCTCTCTGGTCTCTCTCTGGCCTCTCTCTGGTCTCTCTCTGGTCTCTCTCTGGTCTCTCTCTGGTCTCTCTCTGGTCTGTAGTCCGCTGACACAAATGAAAAGGAGAAAGAGGAAAAATAAGAAAATAATCAGATTCTTAAACATTTACAAATTAAAAGAAAAACATATTTAAGATGGACTTCAAACTGTAAAATTCTTCATGTCTTATTATTGTTGTTAATTTTAAGCATACACTGCATTAAGTGAGCCTCCGTTAGGCTCTGGAACTACATTAAAACGTTAAACAGTAATTCTGAAAACCTCTGTGCATGTGTATTAATAATGTACATGTATAATGTCTTCTCTGATTAACATTTCAAAGTGTTACGGAAACGTAGGCGTAGACCAATCAGAAAGGAAGGGGGAGGAGCTTGCGTCGTTTTTTTCAAATCAAGTACCTCTTACTCTTTTTTCTGACAAACTCCAGACAATCACTTTAAAACTAGATTTACCACTGGGATAAAGTAATTAACTCTTATTTCAAGACCTGTTGCTTAATTTTCTTTTTAAAACTAGATCATTTTGCTTTGTTCCATTGGAGAATCTTGTTTGGGCTCAAATTATGACACTTCCGCCACATAATAATGAGTCTGGTGTGTGGTGAGGGGCCGATGGCACAGACTGGTTGCCTCGCTTCTGTCAGTGTGCCCCAGGGCAGCTGTGGCTACAGTCGTTTATCACCACTGTGTTTGGAGAGAGAATAATGATGTGAAGCTGAGTGTCCAGAAAAACACTGTATAAAACTAATGAATTATTATTATTATTATTATAGTAAATAAGACTCACAAATGTAAGTAAGTAGTAAGTAATCTTTATTTATATACCGCCTTTTCACTGCACGTCGGAGTCTCAAAGCGGTTTACAATTGTTATTTTTGGGAGTGGGGCCGGTACAGGAGGCACATGCCAGACCTATTGTACATATTTTTAGTGGTAGGGGAAACCGGAGCACCCGGAGGAAACCTACGCAGACACGGGGAGAACATGCAAACTCCACTCAGAAAGGCCCTGGTCCAACCGGGATTCGAACCCAGGACCTTCTTGCTAAGAGGCAAGAGTGCTATCCACTCAGCCACCGTGCCGCCCAATGCACATATTTTAACACACAACATATAAATAATGAATCATTGTCTGTTGTATCGATTAAGCAAACCGTCAAAAAACATTAGAGGTATAGTTAAAACTGCAAACCGACGCCTGAAATCTTAGATTAGATAATAATCAGATTAGCATTAGGAGACTACATATACACCAGTAAGACCAAGGAGATGATCATCGACTTCAGAAGAAAACCACTTTCCCACACGCTGCTGAACATCCAGGGGGAGGACATTGAGCTGGAGGACAGCTTCAAGTACCTGTGTGTTCACATTAACAATAAACTGGACTGGTCCATAATACAAACGCCCTGCACAAGAAGGGCCAAAGTCGCCTCTTTCTTCTGAGGAGGCTGAGGTCCTTCTGAGGAGGCTGAGGTCCTTCTGAGGAGGCTGAGGAGGCTGAGGTCCTTCTGAGGAGGCTGAGGAGGCTGAGGTCCTTCTGAGGAGGCTGAGGTCCTTCTGAGGAGGCTGAGGTCCTTCTGAGGAGGCTGAGGTCCTTCTGAGGAGGCTGAGGTCCTTCTGAGGAGGCTGAGGTCCTTCTGAGGAGGCTGAGGTCCTTCTGAGTGAGCAGGCCTCTGCTCAGGACTTTTTATGACTCTGTGGTAGCTTCTGCCATTTACTACGCTGCCGTGTGCTGGGCCCCGGGCAGCACAGAGCGGGACAGAAACAGACTGAACAAGCTGGTCAGGAGGGCCAGCTCCACTCTGGGCTGCTCCCTGGACTCTGTGGAGGAGGTGAGGGACAGGAGGCCCCTGGACTCTGTGGAGGAGGTGAGGGACAGGAGGCCCCTGGACTCTGTGGAGGAGGTGAGGGACAGGAGGCCCCTGGACTCTGTGGAGGAGGTGAGGGACAGGAGGCCCCTGGACTCTGTGGAGGAGGTGAGGGACAGGAGGCCCCTGGACTCTGTGGAGGAGGTGAGGGACAGGAGGCCCCTGGACTCTGTGGAGGAGGTGAGGGACAGGAGGCCCCTGGACTCTGTGGAGGAGGTGAGGGACAGGAGGCCCCTGGACTCTGTGGAGGAGGTGAGGGACAGGAGGCCCCTGGACTCTGTGGAGGAGGTGAAGGACAGGAGGTGCTAGCCAAAGCCACCTCCATCATGAACAACACCTCCCACTGCACAGGACTGTAGAGGAGCTGAGGAGCTCCTTCAGTGGAAGACTGAGACACCCTCAGTGTAGGAAGGAGCGCTACCGCAGGGCCTTTATCCCCACCGCTGTCAGACTTTACAATAAGTCACTTTAAGTCACTGTATATGACTGAAAAAAACCTGCACTAATATTGACACTATTTCTGATTGCCACTTTTTTGTTGTTTTACATAATTATCCTGCTTTTAACATGTTTGCACATTTCCTCCTTTTTTGCACAATCTGAGTGTTCTATCCATGCCAAATGTGACATGTACATTACTCCTCTGTGATATAAATAAAGCACATCTTATCTTATCTTACACAGTCGTCAGTGCCTTCCAAAACTTCACACTCTTCTGAAACTCCATCGCACAGAATCCAAATTGCTCGGGTCAACTCAAAAATCACCCTTTAGCAGCGGATATGAAGCATTTCAGCCGATCTCATAATCCGTCCCTTTGGAGAGTGTTTAAAGAGTGTATTCTGGCTCAGCAGTTGCACTTTGTCCTGAAAAGAAGCGCTGGAGATTTGACCCAAGCGTCTGCTCAATAACACTTTCTGCCGCTGACCTCCGACTGCTCCTGCTCTGAGATAATACAGCTCCACACACACGGCCAGAGACCAAAAGAGCAATATCCTCCCAACATCGTCGACCTGCGTCTGTTTTTACAAAGAGCAAATCAACTGGACTCAGAGACAGGTGCAGGAACTGTGCTTTTTTACTTCAAAGAGTCCGAGTCGGTCTTTGGTCGTTCATCACAAGTCACTTTATCTGCTGCTGTTGTTACTATTGTTTATTCAGGCCATATTCTCTGCTGCTAAAGTACAATATAAACATCTGTAAACACCAATCTATAATCTTAGTTATATAAAGGATCCTGTTTGATGTGAGCAAACTCTGAACATTGTAAAGTGCTTAGAGTGACCTCGGTCTCCAGTTGGTGTTGGTGCAGTACAATCGTCCACACGGAGCCGGTTTCTGTTAAACCTCACCCATTGGCCTTGAACACACATATCTATGGTAACCTCACCCATTGGCCTTGAACACATATCTATGGTAACCTCACCCATTGGCCTTGAACACATATCTATGGTAACCTCACCCATTGGCCTTGAACATATATCTACGGTAACCTCACCCATTGGCCTTGAACATATATCTACGGTAACCTCACCCATTGGCCTTGAACACATATCTACGGTAACCTCACCCATTGGCCTTGAACATATATCTATGGTAACCTCACCCATTGGCCTTGAACACACATATCTACGGTAACCTCACCCATTGGCCTTGAACACACATATCTACGGTAACCTCACCCATTGGCCTTGAACACATATCTATGGTAACCTCACCCATTGGCCTTGAACACATATCTATGGTAACCTCACCCATTGGCCTTGAACACATATATCTATGGTAACCTCACCCATTGGCCTTGAACATATATCTATGGTAACCTCACCCATTGGCCTTGAACACACATATCTACGGTAACCTCACCCATTGGCCTTGAACACACATATCTATGGTAACCTCACCCATTGGCCTTGAACATATATCTATGGTAACCTCACCCATTGGCCTTGAACACATATCTACGGTAACCTCACCCATTGGCCTTGAACATATATCTATGGTAACCTCACCCATTGGCCTTGAACACACATATCTACGGTAACCTCACCCATTGGCCTTGAACATATATCTAAGGTAACCTCACCCATTGGCCTTGAACACATATCTACGGTAACCTCACCCATTGGCCTTGAACATATATCTATGGTAACCTCACCCATTGGCCTTGAACACATATCCACGGTAACCTCACCCATTGGCCTTGAACATATATCTATGGTAACCTCACCCATTGGCCTTGAACACATATCTATGGTAACCTCACCCATTGGCCTTGAACATATATCTATGGTAACCTCACCCATTGGCCTTGAACATATATCTATGGTAACCTCACCCATTGGCCTTGAACATATATCTATGGTAACCTCACCCATTGGCCTTGAACATATATCTATGGTAACCTCACCCATTGGCCTTGAACACACATATCTACGGTAACCTCACCCATTGGCCTCGAACATAAATATCTATGGTAACCACCCATTGGCCTCGAACATAAATATCTATGGTAACCTCACCCATTGGCCTTGAACATATATCTACGGTAACCTCACCCATTGGCCTTGAACACACATATCTATGGTAACCTCACCCATTGGCCTTGAACACACATATCTATGGTAACCTCACCCATTGGCCTTGAACACACATATCTATGGTAACCTCACCCATTGGCCTTGAACATATATCTATGGTAACCTCACCCATTGGCCTTGAACACACATATCTACGGTAACCTCACCCATTGGCCTTGAACATATATCTACGGTAACCTCACCCATTGGCCTTGAACACATATATCTATGGTAACCTCACCCATTGGCCTTGAACACATATCTATGGTAACCTCACCCATTGGCCTTGAACATATATCTATGGTAACCTCACCCATTGGCCTTGAACACATATATCTACGGTAACCTCACCCATTGGCCTTGAACACAAATATCTACGGTAACCTCACCCATTGGCCTCGAACACATAGTAGTAGTAGTAGTAATCTTTATTTATATACCGCCTTTTCACTGCACATCGGAGTCTCAAAGCGGTTTACAATTGTGAATTTTATATATTTATTTGTTTTTGTTTTTTTTGGGAGTGGGGTCGCCAGTACAGGAGGCACATGCCATACCTATTGTACATATTTTTAGTGGTAGGGGAAACCGGAGGAAACCTACGCAGACACGGGGAGAACATGCAAACTCCACTCAGAAAGGCCCTGGTCCGGCCGGGATTCGAACCCAGGACCTTCTTGCTGAGAGGCGAGAGTGCTATCCACTCAGCCACCGTGCTGCCCACATACCCTCCTGTCTGTCGCAGCTGCTTGAGTCGACAGCTCTGACCCTGAGTCTCACAACACCCCACTATCTTCCTCTAATTACAGCCTTTTCTTCTCTCATTCTACCTTTTCTTCCTCACTCTCAGCCCCGTCCTCCGCTCGCCGGCCCTCACTACACAATAATCAATATGGCGGCCACGATTAATGCCTTTGTGGCGGCGACGTAGTTATTCAGAGCTTTCATGGCTCAGTGAAGGATGAAATCACCGGCGTGGAAGAGGCCACACGTCTTCAGGAGGCGGAGGCTCGAGCGGACGCCACACGAGGAGAGAGGCGACTGCGGCTTTTATACGCTCAAGGTGGGGTTGTTTTTCATTCACCAAACTGACAAAGCAAACTTCAGGAGCTCAGTAAGTCTAAGTACATTTTTATAATTCTCTATTATTATTATGTACAAGATTCAAGAGATTTTATAATTGCTCTATGAGGCTAGACTTTGACAAACTTTATTGATCCACAAGGGAAATAGCGTTGTCACAGTAGCTTGCATAGTATTTCATAATAAAAATAAAAATAATAATAATAAGAAGAAGATAATGTTGTGAGAATAGAATAATCCGAGTTAAACTAAGAAGAGAAGAGCGAGTGCTAGTTACCACATGGTTTTTCTATATTTACCTGATTCAGCACTTAGTAAAAGTGAGAAAAAAAAAAAAACTAAAAAAACATATCTTCACATTTTTAGGGAGATTTCTCAGAACTTCAGTGCGCTGCAACCAGTGGGGGAGGGTCCCAGCTCAAAAGTGGCCAAAATGACGTGCGCTGACATGCTGCAGTACCACCCCGGGCCTGTGGGGGTGGACCCAGAAGTAGAATTAGCCAATGCTAACATATAGCGTTAGCAGACCTCTCAAAAACGTCTTTACAGGATGGACCAAAAGTTGTCTCTTGGCTCAAAGCTCCGTTCCACATGTGTGTCAATGCTGAGGGGGTGTTTTGGTCCACTCTAGTTTACTTGCTGTGAATTTTTGAAGTCTCTCGTTCAAATGAATGGAGCTTGCTCCGGCTGACGCATGCGCAGATGCGTTTTTTCACAATTTTCTTGTGGGCGGGACCACTCGCGGCCATTTTTGATTGCTCCAGTAGAGCACATTTTTTGGCCCATTAGTTAGAACGGCGGAGATAGGCCTGACTCTGTCCATTAATATATACAGTCTATGGTTGATAACAGTCAAAATGACGGTTCTGTGAGTTTGGTAGTTTCAGAATTCTGGGAGTTTAATCTCTCTCTCTCCGGTCACTAAACAACATCATGGAGGATAAGGAGCACAGTGAGGAGAGGTGACATGCACGTGGGGGGATTGAACCCACGACCATTAGGATAAAAAACCAATGCTCTACCAACTGAGCCACTGCCTTTCCTACGTGCACTGTATAAATGACTTTCTTTCAAGGCTCATTAGGGACAATTATGTTTCAGATTATGATCATACGTTGGTCCTGGACGAAACTGTTTCAATTTTATCAGAACATTTGACGCATACATTATCCCAAACACGTCCGTCGTTTCTTCTTCGGGCGGCACGGTGGCTGAGTGGATAGCACTCTCGCCTCTCAGCAAGAAGGTCCTTGGTTCGAATCCCGGCCGGACAAGGGCCTTTCTGAGTGGAGTTTGCATGTTCTCCCCGTGTCTGCGTAGGTTTCCTCCGGGTACTCCGGTTTCCCCTACCACTAAAAATATGTACAATAGGTCTGGTATGCGCCTCCTGTACTGGCCCCGCTCCCATCTCTGTGTGGAGTGAGAGACTAATGCCCAAAAATAACAATTGTAAACCGCTTTGTGACTCTGGTCTGTGAAAGGCGGTATATAAATAAAGCTTACTTACTTACTTACTTACTTCTTAGCATTCTGAAACCATAGATTCTGTTTTTGAAGATGAAATCATTTTGTTGGCTGGTTCCGAGGGTCAGAGAGGCTACGGGCTAAATCAATTCTTGTGACAGGGTTCACACAGATGGCAGAGGT